GCAGGCTTTACTTCTGACCTGCAAAGCCAGTATGACCCGTAGCTCAAAGAAGCATCCTTACCAGCATTTAGTGTCCCACATACTGTTAGCTTCCCATTTCAAAATAACAGCTACCAATTAGGAGACCTATATGCTTCTGAAGGCATTCCAGACTCCCTACAGAATTAAGAGCATGCACTTTCATAGAGTGCTTCACAGAGAAACTTTGTCATTTCTATCCTGCCTGATTTCTATTAAGATACACGACGAGGATAAGATATATAAGATACACGAAGAGGACTGCAGGTACTCTGCAGCCAGTGCGAGACACACTACTGCTTGCAAACATTTCAGGTGAGAAAACTATCACAACTGCGAACAAATTGTTTTCCTCAATTCAATAGTTTCTTCTGCAGCCACCACCGGAGTATATTACAATAAATTTGTGAACTAATAAACGAGAGCTAATATCAGATGAGAAGTAGTCTTTCCAGCAGCAATGAAGAATCTACACCTTTTGAAACAGTACCTGAAATAAGCACTGAACTTTTTAAGTTCAGGGAACTGGATGCAGGAAATACAGTCAAACTGACAGCTTGCTTAATGATACATGCATTATGAAACATTAAGAGAGACACTGAAGTCTGCAAAGGCCATATTCATCTACCTTTGCAATTTGTGAGGGGAAAAAAAATACAATCTAGTAAGTATTTTGATAAAATAAAGTCATCAGCCTTAAGATTTCCTCCTCAGATTATTAAGCAAGCAGGACATACATAAAGAATATTAGACACCTTTTACAGATTCCTAAATACGCTTAAAAAATTAATTTCATAGAGGAAGTGAGCATCCAAAGAAAACACATTTCTTCTGTTGCTATTAGAAGCTTGATAAAATAACATGCCATTGAGCACTGCTGGATATTTAGACCACAGACATAGAATCATAGAATGGAGAGACATAGATCTGTTGGAGCGTGTTCAGAGGAGGGCCACAAAGATGATCCAGGGGCTGGAGCACCTCTGCTACAAGGACAGGTTGCGGGAGCTGGGATTGTTCAGCCTTGAAAACAGAAGACTTCAGGGGGACCTAATAGCTGCCTTCCAATACCTGAAGAGAACCTACAGGAAGGCTGGGGAGGGACTTTTTACACAAGCGTCCACTGATAGGACAAGGGGAAATGGGTTTAAGTTGAAGGAGAACAGATTTAGATTAGATCTTAGGAAGAAATTCTTTAGTACAAGGGTGGTAAGACTTTGGAATAAATTGCCCAGAGAGGTTGTGGATGCCCCCTCCCTGGAGGTGTTCAAGGCCAAGTTGGACAGAGCCTTGAGTAGCCTGATCTAGTTGAGAGGCGTCTCTGCCCATGACAGGGAGGGTGGATTAGATGATCTCTAGGGTCCCTTGCCAGAACTCGTTTAATGCTCTGTGTAAGGTCTCCTTGTGATTACTTTTCTTCTCTGCATAAGGAAAGCAAGACCAGCCAAAGCAACACAGCCTCACCTATAGTAAGGTAGCTGGCCTGGATGATCACAGAGGTTCTGCTCATATATTGCTTTAAGATATTCAAGCTTCCTACTTCAGAGACAAAAAAATCAATGTCTGGTTTGGCTGATTAGAACAGAGGGTCACGATTTCCACTGTTTAACATTTATACAATTCAGCAGGTTCCTCCAGCTTTGTTGCAAGTCAGCATTTTGCTTACTATCAAATTACTTTCCAGAGACAGATCTAGAAAACATAAATTTAGCATTTCAGCATAAGTAGTAGTGATATACATAAGAAATTATTAGTCAAAACTCAAGACAAACATTTTCAGTAAGTAGTGGTACAAAGTTTCAATTTTTCTGAATCTCCTAAATACAACTAAGATGGCCATTGTTTCCAAAAGGAAACCAACTAGAAATTACTCCAGCTCTGAACAGCAGCATCTAGAGGGAGTGATGAGATCACTTCCATACATATTTCAAGTAAAGGTTTTTGGCTGTATTCCGTTTAAACAAGTCCTAACTTCTTCCTTAAAGACAAGATTAAACTAAAAGTACCTTTTTAAATTTACCCTGCAGTTAGTGTTTCTCTACTTTCCAACAAAAATATTTCCGAATGCAACAATGATTCAAAAATTGAATTCTGAACTCCCAGTAAGGATACACATTATGAATAATAATCAGAACACCAGAAAAATACCTGTGACATCCTGTGGTGTAGTACTGCAAATACGACCTCACAACTCCAACGTGGCACAAAGCAAGCACACTTCTACCAACGTGAAATGTCAAAGAGCAGAAGCATCACCACCTCTCTGCCTCTCCTACAATCGACTGCAAACAGGCAGCAGCTTTCGAAGCACAGCTCTGCCTCCTTGCAGGATGAAGAGCCTGAAGAACCATCACAAAACTGGAATCCTTTTCTTTCCAAGTGGAAACAAAATGCATTTAGAAGGGATGAGTATGCTTTTGAAAGAGGGAATGCCTGCCCGGGAGAAAAAGAGGAAGGTGTATCACAGGATAAAAAGTCATACCAGTTAACTGCAAAACCACTGTAACTCAGCATCAGCTGACTGTCAGTGCCTACCAAATATTCAGGTGGTGAGATTGTATAAGAGCAGATACCATATTGTTTCCTGCATTTTGCAGGATGGTGACGGCTCATCAGCAGCCATTAGCTGCTCATCAACTGCTGATACCAGCTGCTCCTTGGTAACTACAATTTGAGGTAACCCATAAGCACACACCAAAATGAGCTGCTGCAAAAATCAGTTACCATTCAGCAGCTAAGGAGCACAGGCTAATGTATGCAGATTCTTAACAGCCCGATCGACAATGCAAGAGCAGCAACTGCACCAACAGGTCATCAGTAAATCATACAGCACCTACTCCACTCTGAAACGGAACAGGCATCTATGCAGAGATCACAAAGCTGTCACCATTTAACATTCTCTTGCACGCTTTGAGTAGGAGAGCTGAAGGAGTAAGAACAAGTTCATTAGGTACCTGCCTTAGTAAAAAGCTGATTTAGCACAACACTCCTTGCACTCCGTATTTTGAAGTTACCAAGCATAAACAGTTGGAATGTTAGCATTAACAAAGACTGCCACTTGATCACTTGCTTAATCCCACAGATATTCAGGCTGTGACCAAAAAAGCAAATTCTCACCTCTGTCCCTCAAGCTGACACTAGCACTTGTGTGGGCAGCCTCCTTACGGAGCTCATCGGCCTGAAAGCTCCCGACAACGAGCTAGTTTTACCTGGGATCGGTCCCCACTCTCTCCTGTTCAGAGTTAGCACAAGCATTAACTGCTGACCCAAGACGGAAACACGGACAGGTACCCGAGTGGAGGAAGGGGACCACCCGTGCCACATCACCCTAAAGCAGAAATGGAAACTACACCCTGAGCCATGTTCGGATGTAACACACTGACTTAAGTTAATAGCTACGCTGCCAGCTTCAAAGCACAGTTCTGCAAACGACAAAATACTTGGCTGAATTACAGACCATCATACTGAGAGTTGAAAAGGCACCCTTTTAGGCCTTGAGGTAGGCTTTTGTCCTCACCTGAAGACCAATGCCATTCTCAACATACACAAGGAAACTAAACGGCTTCTTCTGATTTTTAAATTTGGGTTTATTTTTCTTTTTATACATCAGTAGCTGAAGAACCCACAACTCAACTGTTTATTGGGAAAGAACATTCCAACACAGTATTTGAACTTTTGCTTAGAAAAGAAATTATTTTAGAAACTTCTAAAGAGAACTCAAGATCCAGTCTGTTCATAAAAATCAGTTCTGTGCATACCTGAATATTCTTGTTTCCCCTCACCCATAATTTTACCATTTGTCATCTTTGACAAACATATCAAAACCAAAATAACCATTCCCATGTTAGGAGGAATGTTTCCGTTTTCACAGCTTGTATTGGTGAAGCTATAAAATAAAACCAAAACTCACACACAATCCAAGCAAGCTCTGGAAAAAGAAGTTTTCATCTTATTCCACCTCTAATCCCTTATAAGTTAAAAAAAAAGTAAAAAAATTCAACTTCTGCAATGACAATAACTTCAGTTATTAAGTAGTAATTGGATAATTTATTTAATATCAGCTGTCATTGTTACGGCCCAGTGTTAACAAATTGACTTCTAGTCAATGTAACAAAGCAGCTCAGAGTAGATAAAATTTTTGAGAAAATATACAAAAATCACATCTTATCTATTAAAAACTCCATTGTAGGTATATACAAAATAATTATCAAAGCATTTGGTTCATAAAGTGCTGCTGTAAGTCATGAAATCAACTACTTGATTCAAGACAGTGCTAGAAATGGATGCCTGGGCAACCATCTCAAATTCGTCTGGCTGGGGACACAGACAAAACAACAAAGAGTTTGTTTGTTTTCATTACAAAGTTGGAACCGTAAGGTAAAACGGAAGGAAGCAACTAACCCAAAGAGAAAAAGACTTGAACTATGTTAAGTACCCTGCATTGTCCCATTAAGCTACTGGTATTGTTCAGTGACAGAACCACATTTAGAACACAAATGGCAGCATCTCAAAGTGGCAGATGGTTTTCTTGGGTCTTAGATGCCAATTTGGATACTCCCCAATCCCAATTTCGAAAAGCCAGAAGCAATGACTTCCTGTTACAAACGAGATAAGAGTTTAAACTCACCTGAAGAGAAGCAACCTGCAGTTCAGGAACCCCTTGTCATCTAGTTCATCACATACTGCTGCCGACCCATATTTAAGTGTAATCACGTTTTGTAACCAAGAACAACTAAGCTAACTCCATTCCTAACTACAGTACAAAATCTAAAGTAATACTCTGAAATATTTGTTAGCTCTGGAAAGGTGCCCAACAGCATCACCCGTACTAACACTTTAGACTCTGTATCTCAGTTTGTCACCCAGCAAATTTGACTCAAAAAAGAGACATCGCATGGCTGCAACCATTTCAATATTTGACTATGCACTACAAGTGCTGTATACTTCCCCCTCACCCAGTCACTGAGTTGTGAAAGAATTGCTTAGAATTTCTGAGGTTCTACCATAATCAGTTCTTTCCCATCATACAACTCTTGCAGGTGGTTTGACTCATATCTTATGGAGGGTTTTTCAGTTTGCATCCCATGCTCCAGAGCATTCTGTCCAACTATTTTCAGATTCACAGCTTTTATTTTCCAGGTATTCTCCCTAACAGGACAGCTAATGAGTCCAAAAACTAGTTCAAAGATGCCCAAACAAGCGTTGTCTCTATGCACCGTGCCAGCCACTGCTACCAGTACTAACCCATGTGGAGACCTGGCACATTTCAGTCCATTGGCATGTAAATTAGGGTTGAATAGAAGATACTCTTCTTTAACCAAGGAGAGCAGACGAAGGCTCACCATTTCAGCACCAACATATTCTTCCATGCTTTTTTCTAATGTGTTGTAACAGAACTTCATTCTGGCATCCTCCCAAAAATGCTGTGGTCCCCATCTTTCTTCAGATTTTACTCCCAAGGGATGTTGAGAATTCAGGAGTTCAAAGAACCATTGACAGAATTCTGATCCTAGATCACGAATGTCATCTTGTGGTGGCTTTTGTCTCTCTCCATGACTCTGCAATCAAGCACATTTTTGTCTTAGAACTATTTAGCCTTAACATGCGATATTACCACTTAGGACAACACAAAATCATGTAAATACTTATTTTAAACATTCTAAGTCTCCTTCAAGGGTTCTGAGACAGAGTGCCTGAAGAAAAACAAAGTAAAATCTCATTTATTTTTAAGATCATTATTATCTTATCTTTGGAATCAGGGTAGGTTCTTTGAATTACAGTTAGAATAGTCCTTCAGCTTTGTCTTGGTCTACAATTTATAAACAAAGAAGAAAATCCTGGTTCTGCTGAAAAAGGACAGGGGAAGGACTTCTGAACTACTTCTATGAGACCAGGATTCTCACACTGAGAGACAAAATTTCTGCTGAGTAAAATAGTGCCTGGGTTAGTAACTTTTCACTGGCCTTTACATTTCCAAAAGCAGGTTACAGAAAAACAAGAAGACCCAATCTGAAAAGTTAATCTCATACTAAGGCGTATCAATATCAACTAAGGAGTGCTTCTAAATAAGCAATTACATTGACATGTTTTTCCTGTTTCACGTTGCCTCCAGTCTCTTCTTTTTGGTAACTTTTGGTTTGGTGAATGGTGTTGATCTGTGCATCCTCATATAGCTGATAAGTACAAATAGTACGTATCAGGAAGTCACCTTTTGAATATGCACATCCTAATACCTGAAGCTGACAGAATACTTCTGATTTATGGAGGTATTTTACCTATGTCAGTGGAATATACACTAACAAAATGCACAACTAATCCAGGAAGAATTGACACACGTTCCAGAACGTTTTCTCCACCAGATCACGTGCCTGAATTTAGCCCTGTTTGGCAGTAAGACTGCCAAAAATAATCCGAGAGATGCGTGGTCACTTCCATGAGTGATGTTTGTAGTCTTCATCCTATTTCTAATAGGAAAAGATCTCAAATAAAAGAAAACATAACTTATTTTACCTTTGCTCCTCCAAACAAACAAGAGTCTTGAGGAATCTCAGTTACTTTTCTAATCGTACAACTGATCGCTTAAAACAGACCGAGACAATATGACATTGGGATAGGAGGGCTGCAGGGATTTTTACAAAGCAGCATAAGCTTACTTGTGGAATAAAGGCAACTCCATTCATCCTGTCATAAAATCCTTTGTTCAACATTGAATCTGCTGAGAAAGTATTTTTAAGTAGTGAGACAAAGTAAACATTGCTAGCAGACAGCCAAACCTTCAAAGAATAATTTGAAAAGGCTCAGTCAAAGATTCTTCTCTTGTCTAGAAGCCTTAGAGAAGAATGGGTCAGAGAAAGAAAGCATGAAACTATGTAAAACACATCTTCCATTAGTTCCCCATAAGTTATGGACAAGCCACTTGTGCCCTTTTTTCTTTGTTCTACAGAACATGACAAACACATATGCCTAAAATACATCCAAGATGTTAGGGGGGTAAGAAATACTTCAAAATAATATTTACATTTAATGATGGGTTGCTGAGACTGACAGCAGAGTGGTGGGTATAAAGTTTTGAAGCCAAATTCAAGTAAGTAGCAAAAGCAAGTATCAGTGAGGAACCAACGGTCATATTATTAAAATTGAAACAGAAGAGGGTGACAAACCACTCCAAGCGTTGTATCACTAAACATGTGCTGCAACAAAGCAAGCACTAAGATTTTTTAGATATGACTATGGGTCAAACTAGGAAAAAAATCTATTCCTTGCTGTTGAATTCTTGGTATGTCTGCAACTATGTGTAGAAGAATAGCAAAATTGAAACACAAACATTTAGGAAACAAGCTGCTTAGCAACCAGATATTTAAGATAGGTTTTTGTGTTGATTATAAAACTACATTTGATTTAGAGGACACCTCTCTCTAAAGGAAGCATCACTGTAAAAGGCAACAATCGAATGTTCAAGTAACAGTCCTGTGAGCCTATTTAATTTGTATATACGTAGTTTATTTATCCTCTGCTTTCTCTTACAATAGGTAAGATTTTTTACTTTAAAAAAAATCATCCAAACTTTCCAATGTAAAGATACATGATCTCTGACTGTAAGGTGACACCTTTTTTGAACAAGAATTAAAAGTACAGTTATTTTGTAGGGCTTCTTAGTATTTGCAACTTGACAGCAAGACATTCAGAAGTACATCAAATGACAAGTTTGTTAACATTGAAGTCTAGTAAGTATTAAATTAAGTATGTTTTAAGTAAATATTAAGTGATTAAGTATGAAAAGTTTAGAGACTTCCATATAGAAATGCTGTGTTTGTTTCACACTAAACTGTAATTCATTTCTAATTGTTATGTAGGTTCATGTTACCTGTTTCTTCAAAGTGGCGAGGGCCACAAGAATTGAGAGAAAACAAAGGCAAAGAAAGATGTATGTGATAAACCAGTTGAACTTCTCATTCTTTGTGAAAGTGTTTCAAGTGCTGTGGAGAATTTAATTTACTTACCTTCGATCATACAACTTGGCAAAGGGTTCTTGCAAAAGGAACATTTTTTTTCCCAACGCAGGCACAAAAATATTTGTTTTGAAAACCATTTTCAGCTATATCATAACTCCTGTCAATTAATCCCTGAGAGAAAGCTCAGTGCAATAGATTATCGACAGCTACAGAGCTCTAACAGCCCAGCTGGTGGGGCTGTTGCCCATTAGGTCTCAGAAGTACAACACTTGAAAGAGCAAGGTGGCTACTTAGAACTACATGGTAAAGATCCAAGACTAACGAACAGTGAAAGTTCATTACATCACAAGGATTTGCTAAATGTCAAAATTTTGACCTTCAAAATAACCTGTAATTGCCAAAATACATGTAGTTACACTGTATTGGGTGTTACTTATACCAAGGGAAAAACCGGTACAGACTTGGCACTGCTACAACCTTTACATTTCAATTATATAAAAATTTGCTAAAATCCATTCTGCACTCTAACTGCAAGATGTAAAAAGGAAAACAGCTCACAGACAGTGTTACTTTGATTGCACTATCTCTAGAAGCAGACCAAGGCCACTTACAAAAAGGCAGTTTTCTCTCCGTTCGCTCCCTCTCGCCCCCGTAACGTTTTAGACCACAGTCCCACAGACGCTTTTGCCCTCTGATCTACAGGCAACAGCATCTTTTTGCTCTGCTCTGGGATGTGCCCTACCAAGTGGAATCACTAGTGCCTGGTGTGGCTGGAGGATGACTGGAAATCACAGATCTATACCAAAAGTTTAAGAAGATCCACCATATTAAAAAATGACAAGGGGCAATACAGGGTTTCTGTAACATTAACGCTGTTTTCAGTTATCCTTGAATCCACAGAATTATTTGTGAATACCCTCTAATTTAGCTTACAGTACAACTAAAAAATTAAAAGCATGGAGAACATCCCACATGTTATGGTTCAAATGCACAAATACACTTTGCAAGATAGAGCAGAAGACTGCGCTCTGCAAGTGACACATTGGCATAGACTTTAAATGATGTAATTTAAAAAAAAACCAAACAAACAAACAACAACAAACGTTAAAGAGATCCAGCACCTTCCTAAATACAGGTGAAGAGCCACACTTTGGATGTGCATTAGAACGTTTACACTGGTTATCCTGCAAAAGCAGTTCTAAGCACCCTCAGGTCTTCCAGAAAGCAGTGCTCACCTCTGCGTGTGGTTTTCTCTCCCCTGACTCTGAGGCAGGTGTTGTGAGCTGCCCACTCCAGTACTGCTTTACACGATCGATGAGTAGATGTTTCTCAGAGGAAGGAGGTACTGGAATTTCTTGTGCTGCCAAATACTTAAAAATTATTTCTCGATAGACTTTTCTGCGTTTCAAAAGTTCTTCTACACTTTGGCTGTAAACCAAAATGGCATGAATGGCTTCTGCAAAGAAAGAAATTTAAGTTAGCAGTTGTTTCTCTCACAATTACAACCCTAACCTACGCCATTTCTTTACAGTTCTTCTGAATATGAAATATGAGTCTTAATTTCTGCATCAAATGGGTAGTTCACATGATTTGGTCAGAGAATACATCGTTGCTTTGAAGAATATGCAAGTTTTCAAATGTTTCCCATGAACAGAAAATTGACAGAAATGCAGACAGAGAAGATAACTAAGGTAATCTCTGATTCCTCCTATGCTGAACAAGAATTCTAGTACTAGAAGTTTGCAGTTTTTCAGACAACACCCAGTAGCTTGTGAAAGTGAGGTTCCATCTAGGATCCTGAAGACTGACAAAATTAAATCTTTTATTTCCAAGCTAATACAGTTACTAATCCTAGGTTCGTAAGAAAGCACTATGCATTGTAGCACAATGACAGTGCATTGAAATGTAACATTAAAAAAAAAAAAAATCAGCTACAAGGCTCTGTGGCAAAATTAGGAACCATGACAAACTGAAATTCACTTTTAAAGTGGTTGTGGTAGCCAGTTCTCACCCGAACTGCAGCTGGGTACTTAACATGTTACCTATAAAAACTGTAAGTTTAAACAAGAAGAGATTAACAGCTGAAGTTAAAAAAAAAAAAGAATATATTTTAATTTAACCTACAACCACTGCAAAAAGTAGACTGAAAAAGCAAGAAGAAAAACTACAGGCATAAGAAACGCGTTTGGCAAATCTTACAGGTCTGAGTACCTGACCACACGAAGCACATTCAAGGTTTTTGGACGACTATATTTTCAGGGCAATATACTGAGTGGCCTCACGTAACTCTCATACAAAATTACATTATACGGAACAAATCTCATCATCTGCAAAGCGATGGGGGATGGACATACAGATCAGTATCTGACTTGTGGTTTACCTTTTCAAAACCTGAAAGCGAACGTCCTTGATGCTTAAGTAGCACCCTTCCCTTCCGTCCCTTTCCTTGATGCAAACAGCAAGAGACATTTGGGTTTTAAACACGTTTCTAAACCCTGGCAGGGCATAGCAGGGACACGGCAGTGCACGAAGCTCACCAGGAGAGTGGAATAAGAGAGAAGTGCGGGGGACCTGAAAATCTGCGCCAAGCCCCCAGCAGCGGCTCGGCAAGTTCCCCGGCCGCAAGAAACCCCGCACTCCGAGCAGGCAAACCCCGGCGCTGCCCGCCGGAGGAGCAGGCTCCCGGCACTACACCCGCACGAAACGCCCCGCACCGGGCAGGGCGCGGCGAACCCCC